CACCAATATCATTGTCCAGTTGGGTCAAATGGCCAAATTCCCCTATAAAAATTTGTTTAAAATATTACGTTATATATGTTTAATATTTCTTTTAAAAAATAAAAGTCTCCAAAAGTCTTTAGTCAAAGTCTTCATAAGTCTCCAAAAGTCCATGGAAAACTTTTACTAAAATCTTACCAAATCCATCTAAAATCACTTGAAAGTTCACGAAATCTCCAAATGTCATCCATTTTAAGAAGTCTCCAAATGTCTCTAATACTAAAGCATAGCAATTTGTGTTCAGTCTCCAAATGTCATCCATTTTAAGAAGTCTCCAAAAGTCTCTAATACTAAAGCATAGCAATTTGTGTTCTCTCCATTATATTGGACACCAATACAAACTGCGGTTATGAGTTCTTGGATATGGCTTGTTTTCATTTTCCTAAATTTGACACACTTTTTGGCTATGGTTAAATCCCAGGATCATTGGTGTTTCAACAATGGTAACTACACAAGTAATAGCACGTACAAGAAAAATCTCGATGCCCTCCTCAACGGTATCACTTCTTTAATTGATCGCTCTGGATTTTACAGTTCCTCATATGGAGAAAATCCCGATAGAGTATATACAATGGCACTCTGTAGTGGAGGCTCTCAGTTTGATTTTTGTCTTAGTTGTATCAAGAATGCTACGTATTCCCTCTTACAACTCTGTCCTTACCAAAAACAGGCGATCTATTGGGGTTGGGCTATTAATTGCACGGTGCGCTACTCCAATGAATCAATATCTGGGAAACTTGCAACTCACCCCCGCAATCACTGGTCTGTAGGATTCGAATCCCCAAATCAGGAAGAGTTCAACAGGACTTTGAAAACATTGTTGGATAATCTCCGCAGCAAGGCTGCTTATGGTGGCGCTCTCAAGAACTTTGCAACTGCCAACGTGATTGGTCCCATGAGGGCCATGCCACCTTATGGACTAGTACAGATGACACTTTATGGACTAGTACAGTGCACTCCTGATTTAAGTTCAGATTATTGTATTGATTGCTTAATCCAGGCTTTTGAAATTATACCACAATGTTGTAATGGAAAACAAGGAGGCGGAGTATATTGCCCCAGCTGCTTTCTTCGCTACGAAACCTATTTGTTTTATACTGATACTCCACTACCGGCGCCACCACCACCACTACCGGCACCACCACCACCGCTACCGGCACCACCAGGTGAGAAAATACTTTTGACTTCTATTTTGGCATACCCTATAGCATATTATATAAGAGATACTACTTCTATATACTCATCACCACGCAGTTAATAATGGTCTTGTAATCTTATTGAATCACATTAATAGCATGTTTGCACACTACTAAATAATATTAAAGAAGAAAAAAGTTAAAAAAAGTTGTTCATTATATCATACTGGAAAGGGAAAAATTTGTTTTTTGACCAAAGTGTTGATGGGTCTGCGCTTAAAAGATTCATTCTTGTTTCAGAGTCCTCAACCAAAAGTAAGTTATATCACCAAATCAAGAATTTTTCAACATATGCACACATTCCCTTACTTCAATTCCTCTGTTTGGGGTTCAGAATCCCTTTTTTTGATAAACTTCTTTTCATTTGGGTTTTTATTTTTTGCAAAAGAAATTTCTTCTGACCTAATATGTTGAAGATATATAAAGTGATATGCAGGTCAATAAATGTACTTCCCGCTTTCCTCTATTCTTGACGTCGCATAGAGATATTTCTCTTTGGGCATTGCGTTTACTATCATCAAATGATAAATGACAGGATGGAAGACATGGAAAATCATTACTTTGGTTATTGCAGTAGTAATTGGGCTTTTGTTGGGCTGTCTATGGTTCATCATCCGAAAAACTAAACAAGGTATCTTTCCAATCACTTGTAGCTTTAAAAAACCTTCTTCATTTTCCATACAAATAAAATACCTATAACAAATATCGGCGAGCTGGAGAAGAAAAGATTATAAAGAAGGTTTTATATATTTCTTAATTGAGGTCATGTTGATATTTATATGCATGCAATTTCACTTCAACAGAATGACTGGAAAGAGGATTACAGAATACAATAAGACTCATTTCAAGAGTTGTAGTTGTAGTTGCACTGTCATTTTTTATGTAGTGAGTATTGCAATTGTTGTAATATGGGGATCATATAGAGTAGAACACATATTTAATGGAATAAATAGGCTGATGCCGGAGCAGAGCGGAGTGGAGTGAGGAGAACAGTGTAAAAATAACAAGGGAAAGTGTAAAAATAATATCCCTACATGGTGCGTTTTGTAAATATCCTTGAGGATTTTTAATATCTCCATTGCATTCTTATTTTGATATTTCTAGTTTTTCCAGTTCTAATTCTCCTAACTTTAGTCATTGGTGTTCTTATGTTGACGCTTTGGATAATCATCCCATAGGGAGAAGGAAGAAGGAAGAATTACGTGAATTGATGACCCTAGAGGGATATACTGAAACACATCCAGTTGAAAGTGATGGGGGACAGGGTCATCATCTTAGATTGTTTACATATTCGTCCATCCTTAAAGCTACAGGCAGCTTTTTGTCAGCAAACAAACTGGGAGAGGGTGGTTTTGGCCCTGTTTATAAGGTAAATTTGAATTGAGAATATTATGTGTTCTTTGAATAGGATCAGCCCTTTGGAGCTTCAAGTAGCCCCTGATTCTTGCATCAGAGTATCTGAAACGGCATTTATTGATCATTGCTGCAGAAATACTCTGACTGCCTTTTCTCTTTTTTAACATTGTCCTATATCTTACTTTCTTAGTTACTCTTAGGACACATCAATGTTTAGTTCAAGTTTATAAACTATTTATACACACTATTTATGGCATCGTCACTCTCTTTGACAACATCCAATAATTTAATAATAAATAAAGTACGTGTTTATATATCATTACAGGGAAAAACCATTGAAGGGCAAGAAATTGCGGTAAAGGTACTCTCCCGAAGGTCAGTTCAAGGATTGCTCGAGTTCAAAACTGAACTAATACTTATATCTAAAATCCAACACGTGAATCTTGTCAAAATATTGGGTTTCTGCATCCATGGAGA